CGGAGGCAAGGGGGCTGCCTGAAGCCCATAGCGCTCGGGCAGCTCGGCTCTTAAACAGAGCCGAAGAGTCAGGGGAGGAGCAGAGCAGCCGCGGGAGGGGAAGTGCCTGGCCGGCATTTTCCCCGGACACGTTCGGCTTTTTGGCAATTCCCCCCGGACGGGGGTTTGATTGCCGAAAAGCCGGACATGTCCAGGAAAAAATGGACATATGGTAACCCTAGTACTAGGGTCTCCCCTCCCTGGGGAACCTCCACCCACTATCCCCACCTCACCTCAGAATAAGGCCATTGCCAGTCTCCAACTAGCCCCCATTCCCTGGGGCAGACTGCAGTATAGGCCACTCATCACAGGCAAGGTTGGGTTTGGACCTACTGCCTTGGCCTAGCCGTGGGCTGCCCTCTGCAACCCCCAGTACCCCTTGGCCTCCTACTAGGCCACAGCCTGGGACTATCCAGGCTGGATCTCCCCAGCCCTGCTCTACTCAGGTACTCTGTGTCTAGCTCCCTGCAGCCAGGCTCTTCTCTTTCTGAAGGTAGAGAGAGGCTCCTGGCTCCCAGCCTTGTATATAGGACCAGCTGAGGCCTGATTGGGGCGTGGCCCAGCTGTGGCTACTTCCCCAATCAGCCCAGTAGCTTTTCCCTTTGCCCCAGCCCTCTGCCAGGGCTGTTTTAAACCCCCCAGGCAGGAGCGGGGTAACCACCCTGCTACAAGGGGGTTTTTGTACATAATTCTACATATGTAAGTTCAACTTTCATGCTAAAGAGATTGCACTACAGTGCTTGTATTAGGTGAATTGAAAAATACTATTTCCTTTGTTTTTTACTGTGCAAATATTTGTAATAAAAATAAATATAAAGTGAGCACTGTACCCTTTGTAATCTGGGTTGTAATTGAATATATTTGAAAATGTAGAAAACATTCAAAGCTATTTAAATAAATGGTATTTTATTATTAACAATGTGATTAATGGCGATTCAGTTTGTTAATTGTTTGACAGCCCTATTTGAAATTCAGTGTCATAAAGGAATGCGGGTCCCATTCAGGCAGCTGCCATCTCTCTGCAACACAAGGAGTTATGGCCAGGTTTTTAAAGGTATTGAGCTGCCTAACTGCCATTGACATTGATGGGAACTAGGCACATAAGTACCTTTAAAAGTTTGAGCCCATGTGCCTGATGTTAGCTGCCAGTCCAGTTCACAAGCACTGATTGCTTTCCCCGGGTACTGTTTGCACTGGGATCCTTAGACCTTTGCCTGCACAAGAAAGTTGCTGCAGTTTAACTTAACTTAATTTCTACCTTACAGATATAAATGCCTGTGTGGACACTCTTAGGCCAAGGTAAAAGTGGCTCATTTGGGTTTAACTGTAACTTGTTCCCGTTGACGTAAGCGGAGTGTGTCCAGGGAGGGTTTTGCACTGATTTAACTAAATAGGTTTAAATCACACCTAGTGCCCTTGTTTACACCCAGACATGGTACGACTTTCGCCATAGCAGTATAGTTAAGGGGCCTGCCCCTCACGTGGCTGCAGTTAAAGCAATGTAAAGGTGCTTGCAGTGATACAGCTTATTCCATACAGGAAGGGGAATAAATTATACTCATCTAAGGCACTTTATACAGTCTAACGCTCCACACTAGGTGTTCTACCATATATCTAGATTGGTAAGAAATCCCCTCCCTCTCCCCACCTGGCATACAGCCGTACAAACACTGTGCATACAGCAGGTCTTAGTTAAACTTCAGTGCTCCTACGTGTGTTGATGAGCACGTCGGTTGGTGGCAGGACTGCAGGGGTTGTGAACTAGTTTTGCAGGGAGAGTCATTCCCACCTCAAACGTGACTTTATAGCATTAGAAGTAGGTTCCCCAGCTTTAGTATATAGTGGAAATAGCAACTGCAATGTATTTATTAGCCTTTCCTCCCTCTTGTATCCAGCCCCCTTGCATGTAAGTGTGATGGTTGTTTTGTTATCATGCTGTTTATTAAAGCATAAAATGCAATGTGCTCTCTCTGTTTATTAGCATTCAGCATGGACGGGGCAGGTCCCCTCCCCACCAGCACAGAAGAGCAAGGTGCTTTGAGCACATCCCCAGATTACCGGCAGCTCTGCCAGCCCATCCAGGGGGAAGCAGCCATTGCAGTTCTTAGGGCACAGTACAAGCTCTGGGACAAAGCCGGCCAGTTCAAATCCTGACGGCGACCAATGTACTATGTTGACCCCTCTACAGTCACCGCAGCCTCTTGCTCTGTCATCAGTCGCAGACGCATTCACATCTTTTGCTCCTGACCAACTTCCCAATCTCCTGGCCCCACACCCTTCTCCAGCGATTAGGCCCGGCATTTTCAGCATTGCTCTGCTCAGCAGGTGCGTGTTGGGTGCTGAGGACTAGCTCCACAAAGGAACATGGGCATCCCAAGGCTCAGAGGTGTCAGGCCATTGGCGGCTCTGGGCACGTGCACCACTAGCCACAGAGGTGCCTGCGGAAACTTGCCAACGACAGGATTAGGTAGAAGCTGAGCAGGGGGGTTGAGGATCTCCGGCCTGCCTAAGTCCCTTTGTAGATCTAGACCTGAGCGCTTAGCCTCATGGAAAACAGCTCTGCTCCAATCCTACTACCCCTGTGGTAGGGTCTCGCTGCTGGTGACGCTATTGCAAGCGGATTATTTTGGAACAAGTCTCCCTGGTCAGCTCCTACAATCTGACACTAATGAGTTCAATTTGCCTCCTGCAGAACTGTGCATGTTATTAGATGTGACTAGAAACTGATGCAAGTAGGAGGCATTTTGTGGGGGATAAAACATTTATTCTGGCCCAAGGTGTCACACAGCTCCAGTATTTGTGGGGTCCCCTTGTTTTGTGTTTCCTTTCCCCCACCGTCACCCTGCTACTGCAGTTTTAGCCTGGCTCCAAACACTGCCCTGAGGGGCCTGCTTGACAAGCTTCTCTTAAAACACCCCAACAAAATTACCCCCCCACTCCCCCCAAAACCCCTCCCCCCCATACATATAAAACCAGGCGCTCCGAGTGTGCCGTGTTGTTTTTATATACAAAGTATCTACAGCCATGGGTGCAATACACTGGTCCCGTGCAATGGACAGCAGTTGGAAACACCCTGCAGGTAGTAAGAGGTACAGCTGTCGTGATTGTGCTGGTCCGGTATATTCATGTCACAAGCCGGCGGGGGTAGGACGAGTGGGTTAACCATGGCTTGCAAGGCATCGGGAGTGCTCTGCCTGCTAGGCTTCAGGATGCGCCAAATCTACAAATGCTGTGGTGCCCCTGAGGAGGCCAAGGCTTACCTTTCACTAACACCCGGGGCTTTTTAAAGACGGTTTGAAGCGCCGAGGCAAAAAAACTGATCAACATCCACTTTAGCATCCCCCTCTCGGCATTAACCACACTATGCTGGTGTAGGGAATGAAGCTAGCCTGTAGCAGCACATCTACAAAGACTGCTGCAGTGGAGCGAGCACGTTTAGCGGGACCATGTCACAGTGCTGACCGCCCCTGGAACTCACCCTCTGCCCAGTCTCAGAGACCGGGGGGTGGGCAGTCAGGCCTAGTGGTTAGAACAGGAGTCAGTAGCCAAGACTAGTGGCCCGGGGAAGAGCTGGAGTTAGAAATCAGAGCTGAGGGTCAGCGCTGGATTACCTGGCCTGAGGCAAGGCACAAGTAGGATTGGAAACAAGCAGGTATAGGAACTAGCACATCCATGAGCAAATGCTTTGAGCAACTCCCAAACTCCACTGGTGCTGGGCTTAACAGCTGGCCTGCTGCCGCTGCCCACCAACTGGGGGATGCAGCCCATCAGGCAGCCTACTGTAGGCCAGCTGCGCTCATTAGGCTGCCCAGAGACTGGCTCCGCTCAGGCCTCATACCTGACATCTAGGCTACTCTGACCCAGACCTGCCCCCAGTTGCATTTTGAAAGCTGGCAAAGCACTGCACGGAGGCATTGCAAAGATGGCTCTGCTGCTACTTGGAACCCAGACGGATCGCAACCTGCACTGAAAACAAGATGCAGAATCCTGAGCCATCTTCAGATCTGCAGCCCAACCAGCCAGAGCTGTGCCCAGACTTCTTGGCTTGCTCTTGTGAGGAGCAGGCATGTGCTTCTGGAATATTTGCCACACACTCCCCCAGGGGACCTGGGCTCTATTCTTGGCTGGCCTGCTGGATGACCTTGGGCAGGCCACTTCATCTTTACGTACCTCACTTTCCCCATGTGTAAAATGGGGATAATGAAGCTGACCTCTTTTTTACAGAGCTTTGAGATCTGCCGATGAAAAGTGCTATAGAAGACCTAGGGATTATCATCATCATCTTGGTAATTACCCGCAGATTGCTGAGTTAACATCATTATTCATATGCTGGTAGCACTTGCCTTGTGCAAACGGGGAGGAAGGCCCAGTCCCTGCCCCAAAGAGCTTAGCATCAAGTGCCTCCTGCTTGGCACAGGAGCCAGGATAGGGTTTGAAGGATGCCAAGGCATCCTTCAGACACATACAAATACCCGCTGCCCCCAGCCACAACGGGCACTCTTTGCCCTGTAACTGCCAGAGCCACCCACGCTCAGCCCAGAGGTGCAATGCTCCTCCACCTCTGCTAGCAGAAAAGACATCACTCCACTCCTGGGGCTATGAGACCCTCTCTGCCCCTTCTCTCACAGCCTCCCGCAGCATCAACCCCTTGAGGCATCAGCGGAGACTTTTCCACTTGGGCTCCAGTGTTTGCCTGGACTTGCTCATTGGACTGGCCCCAGCGTTGAACAGTCACTGCCTGGCTCCAGTAGTGCCCTAGATCCCCTCCCTGACCGATCACTCCCGTCTTCACCCACTGACTGAACGGGTCTGATCGGAAGGGAACAAGGGTCTTGGCTTCACCAAGCAGGAAACTGAGCCCAGGGGCATGAAGAGCAGCCCAGAGTTCGTGACGGGGTCGCGTCCACACAAGTTGCTCAGCGGAGAACGTCCTGGGTTCTTCTCAAGCTCATATGATCGGCTTCTTTCCTCACTCCCGGGCGCAGCGAATGTGCCGCTGGATACCCTCGACGTCGAGAGTGACTCCACCCCTGCCATAGCCAGGCCTCCACCACCCACTGTCTGTCCACAGCAGACGACTCTTCCACCTGCTCCAGCTTCATGTTCCCCACTTCCTACACGCGCTATTTCCCACAGCTCGCCCCATGGAACTGTGGGAAAGAGAGAGCTGCTGTCAGGAGCCTCTGGAACAGGGAAAAGAGAAAAATCACGCAAGCTGGGCTCCGAACAATTTAGCTCCTTCCCACCCGTGCAGCTTGACACAGCTCGGTGAGAAGGTCTCCCGACCTGTGGCAGGTGGAGCCCAAGAGACAACTTCCGGAGGGAGGGGGAAGGAGGAAAGCGATTTGGTTGGGAGTGTGGGAGACAATTCGGAAGTGGGTGGGGACGAGGACACGGGGGCAGGGGGAGGGTTTGAGGAAAGCCACAGTGACAGGGAAGGAAGGGGAGCTTAGAGACACTCAGCCCTGGTCCTCAAAGGTATTTAGGCACCTAAATGGCTTTCAATAGGCGGTAGACAACTCAATACCTCTGAGGATTGGGCCGCTGAACCCAGCACATGGCTGCAGTGAGCCTGGGCAGCCGAACTCGGCAGTCACAGCCTGCAGCTCGCGGCTAGTCCCTCAGGCCAGGCTGCGGGGAGCGCCGGCCCCATTACCTTGTCTCTGCCCGGCTGGCCTGGCTCTGCCCGCAGGGCGGCGAGGTCCTCCAGGCTGCCCCCGCGGTAGAGGGCGTTCTCTGCCCGCAGCTCCCTCACGCGGCCCTGCAGCTGGCGCAGGAGCTTTGAGGACACAAAGCCGTGCTGCCCGAGTGGGGTGGAGGAGGAGTGGTTGGGGCAGAGATGGGTGTGCTCGCTCCGGTCCTGTGGGCAAGAAAAAGGAGAAAGCTTCAGCCGGGGGTCAGAACATGCTGAGCACGGCTGGAGGCACATAGGCCCAGCACATAGGCCCTGGAGACACCAAGGCTGCTCCCACCTGGCCACTGGGGAGGTGCACAGTCGGGGGGCCAGAGCCTGGAACTAGGCCAGGAGATCTGGGTTCTGTTCCTGACTGACACAGGCTTGTCGGGTGACCACAGATAAATCAGCGCAGTGAGCCTCAGTTTCCCCATTGTGCTGAGAGACATCTGGGTGAGACACACGATACCAGGGCTGCGTGCTGTTAACTAATTAGTTAAGCACCATAACACTCCCACAAGGCAGGAGAAGTTTGGGAACCCTGAAATGAAGCCATCTCTGGGGTGGAACAGGGCACCGGTTAACAGCACACGGCCACACTACCAAGAGATGAAGTAGAATGTATCCAACTGAGAGTGCAGGGGCACTGGGGGAGGGGAAGAATGGAGCTACCTGAGCTTGGATAGGGCCAGGACACTGGGGCTCAGGACTCATATACACCGGGGGGGGGGGGGCATGGGATCCTCATGGAGCATAAGGGGTCAGTTCATGTGAGAGACAGCGCCTCCAGCCGCACAGCGCCTCCAGCCGCACACGCCTCCACACAGCGCCTCCACACAGCACCTCCAGCCGCACACGCCTCCACACAGCGCCTCCGCACACGCCTCTGCACAGCGCCTCTGCACAGCACCTCCAGCCGCACACGCCTCTGCACAGCACCTCCAGCCGCACAGCGCCTCCAGCCGCACACGCCTCCACACAGCACCTCCAGCCGCACACGCCTCCACACAGCGCCTCCAGCCGCACACGCCTCTGCACAGCGCCTCCAGCCGCACACGCCTCTGCACAGCGCCTCCAGCCACACAGGCCTCCACACAGCGCCTCCAGCCGCACACGCCTCCAGCCGCACAGGCCTCTGCACAGCACCTCCAGCCGCACACGCCTCCAGCCGCACAGGCCTCTGCACAGCGCCTCCAGCCGCACAGGCCTCCAGCCGCACAGCACCTCCTGCCCTGGCCCCCTGCAGCTGGGAGTGGGTTAGAGCTGTCTCCGAGGGGGAGTGCAGCTTCCTGAAGCACCACCACCATGTCCAAGTGCCAGCCCTGGTGCCTCTGCTTGGCCCGTGAGCTCGCCAGGAGCACAGCATTGGGGGCATGACTGCAGGACACGTAAGGTGCCTGGGAGAGATTAGGGCCACTGGAATAGCCCTGCAGCTGATGGCACTTATCAGCTACTAACACTACTCTGCACCCAGGGCTGGAGTCTAGCCTCCTGGACCATTATCTCCCGGAGAGGCTGCCTTGCCCATTACAATCCCCTGCTCAACCCAGCACATGGCTGGAGCGTCCCACGCCTGGCAAGCCGAGGAAGAGCTGCCGTGTGCCCTCCCAGTGAGACTGACCCAAGCAGAGAGGTTCCCTGACCCAGCCGGGGCCCTGTCACTGTCCTCGTTTTAGCCAGAGGCGAGTGTTTCTCCTTTACCGTGGCAAGCCGCCCGATTTCTGCGTCCAGTCTCTCCCCACTCCTGCGAAGGCCCCTGGGTCTGTCCCAGGAGAAGCGCCTGTGGGAGGAGATCACATTCCCTCATGGGCAGATGGCACGGGAAGGAAAGGCAACCTAGTCTCTCCTCGAGGGCGACTCCCCCTCCCTCCACGGCGGGGTCCTGCTGCAATATGCACAGTGCGGGGTGACTGGCGAGCGGAGGGGATACGCTGCGGAGAGCTGTGGAGGGTCTCTCCAGATACAGTCGAGCTGAGAATGGGAGCAAGGGCCAGAGCCCTCTGCATGGCAACCTCCCCCCCCCCCACTGGTTCTGGGACTGGGCCCCAAATGGCCCACACAGACCCTTCCCCATCCCAAACATTCCTACGGTATTCCCCGGAGTAACAGCCGCCCCGAGGGGCAAACAGCCACCAGTTTAACAGTAAAGACAAGTGTCAGTGGATGAAAAGCTAAGGCTGCAAACTCCAGTTCCAGCTCCTGGTTGCTGGCTCTGAGGACAGTGGGACTGGGGAGGGGTCACGCAGGGCTCCAGGAGGACTTGGGGCAGCATGGGGAAGGGGGGAGGGCAGGAATCTCACCCTCTCACCTCAGCTCCCAGCTGCGACCCACCCTCCCCAGCCACCTCCCTGTGCTAAGTACGCAGGGCCTGATCCCCTGCTGGGGGTCCACCAAGTGACACCGGCACCAAGCTGGCCTAGAGCAGAGGACCGTAGGCCCTGTCCGCTTCCAGGTACCATCCCCCAGAAACCTGCCAGGGCTCAAAGGGTTAACCCTGGGATTGCATTGGTGAGTGCCCCAGAATGGGACAAACCCTCCATTGACTTTGGTGCCCCCCAGCTCATCCCCCGTGAACCACAGGGATCCACCACCCAGAGCTGATAGCGGCAGGATCCCATTTGCCAGCCAGGCTAGTGTATTGTCTAGTAACTTTGTTATCAGTCCACGCTCGGGAACTGCCGACAATGGGCCCCCATGGGGTGCTCAGCGCATGACCTGCGCCTCAGGGCTCTGCGCATGCCGACGCCAGCGGTTCCCTTTCCCTTACAAACTCCATGCTGCAACTGCAGGGAGAGAAGCAGCCGTTTCACTGAACAGACTGGCACCAGGGAAAGCCAGCGGCTCGTGGGTGCCAGGGGAGGAGTGAGATCCCAGGACCACGTGGCAATGAGGGAGGCTAGCTGGCTTGGGTGACCTTGTGGTCACTGCTGTCAACCGGGCCAGGATGGTAGCAGCCAAAGACTGTTACCACCAGGGGGCTGTTCAGAGGCTGGGTGAACCGAGTTTGAGGGGTCTCAGCCCCAGTCACTGGGCTGTCAGCACGTCAGCAGACAGTCTAGGCCTGAATGGGCACCGGAGAGTGAAATACCTCCCCCAGCGCCTTGTGCTGCCTCAGCCACCCCCAGCAGCCAGCTCCAGCGCAGCACCCCAGGCTGTCACTCGGTTTCCCTGACACCCAGCGGTGCCCAGCTACCAAGGGCCTCGCTCGGTCTCCGGGCCGAGCACCGGGCTGCTCTCGCTTTCGCTGACCCCAGAAGCAGGCCCCAGCCACCCACCTGTCTTCACCCTGACTTACTCCAGGGAGGAACATTGGCCTAACTCAGCTCCTGCTGACGTCAACGGTTAAACCCTCCATTGGTTCCAGCTGGGGCAGGCAGGCCAACCCCTCACTCTTCCTAAGAGGTCCCGGACCCACAGTGTGAGCTCCCAGAGTCCCCTGCAGTGTGGCACCGGCCTCCAGCCATTGCCCAGCCAGGCAGAGGGGGAACTAGTTTTGATGCCCTCTTGCATCCCTGATTGATTTGTGAGCGCTCAGCCCAGCCCCAGAGCGCTATGCCAAGGGGGCGAGTTTACTCTCCCCACTTTACAGGGGAGCTGGGCCCAGCACAAACATGGGCGCCACCTGCCAGGCACCCCCACCGAAGCGGCACTTTCCCTGCAGCGCGTCACTCTGGGTGTGGCAGGGACATCGGGGATTCCCCCAAGGGTCTACAGCAGCTCTCACATCTCCTGCCCCTTTAGCCCTTGGCCACTGGGGACACGCTGCCACCCTCCATTTCTGGGCTTGCTCGAGGAAGCTGGAGATGTGGGCTAGAGCCCTGCACTTCGAAGCCTCAACGAGGCGCAGAGGCCTGGCTGCTGGCGGGGCTAGAGCCCCTAACACTGCCTGTGGGATCTCTCTTCCCATCTATTCACTCACGTCTCCAGCTCCGCATTCAGCTCCTCCTCAAACTTGCGGGCCAGCTTGCAGGTGGTCTGGTCTTTCCAGTGGGCCATGCTCCTCTGGATGGCCCGCAGCTCGTTGTCCTTCTCCCGCAGCTGCTGGCGCAGCGTCTGCTGCTCCCCACCCCCGGCCTCCTTCAGCTGGCTGCCCTGCAGGCTGGCCATCTCCTGGAGATGCTCCTGCAGGATGAGGCCAGTCAGCACAGCTGGTCCCAGGCCTCACATGCCCGTTGTCCTCCCCACCCGCCCTGGGCCAGAGGAACCGACGGGTGGGGGACTCATCGTGTCTCTCACTCATGAAGGAAGCTAGACACAGGCTGCTGCAGTGCTTGGACCCAGATCTGAAGGTCTGGGGAGGGCGGTTCAGATCCAGGCTAATCTTGGTCTTATCGGAGAAGCCGTCAATCCCGGGGGGAGGCGTGGCCGGATGGAAGCTGGGATCCTGGCAGCCCATGACTAGGGAAGCTGCTAGAGACCTCCCCTCCACTGACCCAGTCTGAATGGCCTGTCCCTGTACTCCAGCCTTTCCCTTCTCAGCCACACAGAGCCACCAGAACGAATGTCCTTATGGGTGGGAGAGGCAACCCAGAGGGCTGCAGCAGAGATCCTGGGGGCGGGGTGGGGAGATGAAGGCGGCTGCCTGGGGGCAGAGGTGAGAGTCTGGAGGGGAGACCACTTAGGGTCCATGCCCTTCCTCCCGCTCTGGAAGCAGCAGGATCTGGGAATCCAGCCCCAGGTCTCCAGCAGCGGAAGGCTGGGCTTTGCTACCCGGCCCAGCCTCAGCATCTCTCTTGGTGGTGTGAAGCATCAGGCACAATCGCAGCTGAGCTCTAGAGGGAGCCCAGGCTGAAGAGCGGGACGGGATTGGGGAGGGGGAGGAATGCCCCCCAGGGCAGAGCCGTGCCAGGCTCCCAGAGGGACGTACTTGGATCAGCCGCTCCTTCAGGGCCTCCAGGGCTTCCTGGCTCTCCAAGTGAAGCTGCTCTCGCTGCTGCCTCAGCTCCCACTCCTGCAGGTAGAAGGGACTCGTTGCTGTCAGGGTGAAGTCACACCCCCTTGATAGCCACCCGCTGCCCATACACTGATGTAGCACAGGGCTGGTGCTATGGTTGGCCACAAAGGCACCTTTAACAGCTTCTCTCCTCTTGCCAGGTTGTCCACCCTCCTCTCCCTTTCCTGTGGGCAGCTGTCTGCTCAGCACTAGAAGCACTTGGGGGCTATTCAGCTCAAGGGCTGGTCCCTGCGGTGACACTGGGTGCCAGATCTCGTCTGTTTCACATCGAGCATTTAGGGAGGGGACAAATGGACCGTTGCAATCCATATGGCACAGGGATCTGTGCCAAGCGCGCGGCATATTCAACTCCATGGAGCCCTCCATGTCTGGATTTCAGGGACGCCGCTGCCCCCACCACTGCACTGTGCCAAGGAGCTTGTCCTCCTCAGAATCGAGTCACAGCTTGCCAGAGAGGCAGGGCCCAGGACATGAGGCTGGCAGCTGCTGGTGGCCCCAGGCTGGCAGTAACCCCGGGGCATTGCTAGCTTTCTATTATTCCAGCAGCACCCTCTCCAGCTGAGATCACAGCCCTGTTGTGCTGGGCGCCGCATAGACACAGAGTAAGACAAGTCCTGTCCTGAGGAGCGTACATACTAAATGGACAAGAGAGAGACAGGCTCTATCAGCCTTGAGTTAGGCCAGGGCGCCATCTAGATCCACGTCCTGCCTCAGGCACTGGCCACTTCCTAATGCATCTGCAAAAGGAAAAGGAAAAGCCCACAATGCATCTGGCCAAACGTACTGCCCATAGAGGGGAACGCTGCTCCTGCCTCTGTGGCTAGCAGCTTCTGCCCTGAAGCATGAGGCCCCTCGTCTTGGCCAGCAGAACCGCAAGGTCAGCAATCTACCCAGCCCCTTTGAAAGCCCCGCCACGGCATTTGGCTCTGTGAGAAATGAAATGATCTCTCCCCCACCCCTTCTCTCGAATCACCTTCTCCTCCTGGAAGTGAAGCACGGTGCGTTTCTGAGCTTCCAGCTCCTGCTGCAAGGCTCCGAGGTAGCGCTGGGTGTCCTCGGTCGCTGCATGCAGGAGCTGGAGTGCGTGGCTGGCCGAGAGGGGAGATGGGCTCCTGCAGGAAACAAGCAGCGGTTTGGGACGAGAACACCCACGTAACCCGTCTGGGCCTCCACAGTGTGGGACTGACCCTGGCATCTCGGGATCTCACAGCGTGCGCTTCTACTGCCTGAGCTCAAGGACTCGGCGTCAGCTGCAGCCTGGTGAATCTCTGTCCATGGACTACTAGATACTAGAGGGGAGCAGAGCCCAGCACTGTGCCAGGAGGGGCTATGCTGTGCTCACGCTGGGCACAGCCTGCTTGGGAATGGCGCTGTCAGATTAACTTCCCTAGGGGAGACCCGGATTGAAGTCCCTGTGCTGCCCCAGAGTGACCTTGGCCAGCGTCTCTGGCTCAGTTCCCTCTGTGCAATGAGAGCAGCCCTGCCTTAGTACACAGGAAGGCTGGGAGGATAAATACACTGAAGATGGTGAAGTGCCCAGATACCACGGGGATGGACCCCTAGACAGACAGATTCAAACAACGTTCTCCTCCCAGGAGTCTGGCATCTACTCATGGCACAGCAGCTCATACGCGGCAGCCCCACTGGAAGATGTGGGCACCAGCCCTGGAATTTGTGGACCTACCAGAAGCCCCCGCAGCGGCTCATGAATCAGGCGGCCTCGGCTGATTATCTTAGGCCAAGTAGTTGTAGCCGTGTCAGTCCCAGGATATTAGACACAAGGTGGGGGAGGGGAGAGCTTTCATTGGACCAACTTCCTGATGCTCCAGCAAAAGGCAATGAACGTGTCTCACTCACCAAGAGATGTTGGCCCAGTAAAGGCTCCTACCTGTCCCTCATTGTCTCTCTGGGGACTGATCATCTGTCCTGCGGTCACGCCCAGGAGCCCCAGCCACGGAGCAGGACCTCACTGTGCTAAGCACCGTACAAACCCAGCACAAACTGATTGCAAGCTCTTTGGGGTGGGGACCACCCAAGTATAAGACAGACAGGGGAAGGGGGAGCCCCAGGGAACCATGAGGTTATAGTGGGATATTGGTGATCCCGCTGTGGGGAGAGCTGGGGGCCCACAGGCAGCAGATACTGGCAGGGAAAGGGGCAGCCAGTGGGTGGGGTGCGCATTGGTTCAGGCCATGCTCTCCACTGCAGCTTCAGGTGGGGATGCTCTTACAGAAGGCCTGGTGGCAACGAAAGCTTCCATCCCCCGGGGGGGGGGAAGGGAGGCAGTGGAAACACCAGCTGTTCTCAGCAGGGGGGGTGGATCCAGCCCTAAGACAATGACCTTCAGGACACAGCGGGTGAAACCCCCCCTGGGCAGAGGGCCAGCCTAAGGCCTAGGCACCACGGAAGCCTAGGCTGGCTTCTGCCCAAAGGTGAATTTCCCAGGAGGAGCAGAACAACTGCAGCTGAGCCTGCTTGCCATTGGTCAGCGCTGGGCAAGATGGCAGGGTTTTGGCTCCAAAGGCATTAAAAACCATGCCGCAGTCAAGAGGTTAAAGGGCCTCACCCATGAGCCATCGGCCCCCTGCCTCTCTCGGGAAGCAGGTCCTGGAGGCGTTGGCATGCCAAGCCGATCTCCCTGGCCAGGGAGCGCTCAGCCCGCTCGGCTTGGGACTGCGCCTCCCGCTCCCGGAAGGACATTTCGTTCTGCTCAGCCCGTAAGTGGCTCTGCTCCTCCTCCACCTGCTGCAGCCTCGCTCTCAGCCGGTCACTCTCACGAGCCTTCTCCTAGGGCGAGGGACACAAAAACAGAGGGTTTAGCAACAATGCTCTGGGAAGGAAATTTCTGTTCTCCCAGGACTCCCAGCTCCAAGCACTGCGGCACATCTGGATTGCTGGAATCGCAGCAGAATATCTGCATTGCTACAGCCCCAAGGCTCCCGGCTGTGTGGCACATGTAGCTGCAGCTTCCCTTTCCTGCAGTGCAGGTAAGGTGAGTTTGTTTCTACCTGCTGGGAGGGCCCCTTACAGCCAGTTGCTTAGTAGGGGATTGTGACGAAGTGGGAATGTTCTCCATGTTTTCTCTGAATACCGTGTGGGTGCCTCCGTTTCCCCTATGCATTTTGTAAGTATCTAGGTGGTGGGATAAGGAGGTGTGATTGTTGCAGAGCCCTAGAGGGCAGGTGTGATGCTGTCTGCACAGAGAATGGCCAACACCCTGTCTCCTGGCAACTGATGGCCTGGACCCCTCCCCTGCAAGTTGGCAACTAAAGGTGTTGGAGAACACAGAAATCAGTGACCTCCTGGCCCGGGAAAGAGACAAAGGCCAGAGGAGGGGCTGGAGGAGGTTTTCAGTTTGGAGCTGGCTGGGGAAACAAGAAGGAGGCCAGAACCGGGGTCTGGGCTCCCTACCCCCAAAATGGACCTGAGTGAGGGGTCCGGTTTTCTGAACATACAAGCTGTTTTGGACTGTGTTCCTGTTATCTAATAAACCTTCTGTTTTACTCGCTGGCTGAGAGTCACGATGAGTTGCAGGAAGTGGGGGGGTGCAGGGCCCTGACTCCCCCACCCTCCGTGACAGGGATGAAGCTCCATTCACAACACTCAAGACACAGACTCACTGGGCTAGGACAGAACGATCCATGTTCAAGCAGGCTGGGTCAATCGGGGGATGGGGAGGGATGAGTCAGTGGCTTCCCTCCTGCAGGGGAGTCAGGTCAAATCCTCCTCCATGTCCATGAGCCCCTAAACTCCTCACTCCCCCCTCCCTGGCCTGGCAGCCATCCCCACCTGCTCCAGCTCCTCGCGCAGTCTCCTTAGTGCCTCCGTCTTCTCCTCCTGCAGCAGCGTCCGCAGCTCTTCCAGCGCCTCCTGCTTCTCCCGCTGGAGCGAGTGGCCGTGGAGCTCCAGCTCCTGAATCCTCTGCAACACAAGCCGGGAGGAACCTGCTGTAACTCCAGCCATCCCATCCTCTGCCTTTCCCCAGTGAGCCCTCTTCAGGCTGGCTTACACTCTGTCCTGCGGGAAGCCCCATCACGACACACTGGCTTTGCCACAAGCCGGTTGCCACTCACGGCCTACTCCACGTACAGCGCAGAGAGGCCAGTTTAGCCTGAAACACAGCACAGTACGTGGGAGATAAAGTGATGTCAAAGAATCAGCTACCGGCCCTTGCTCAGCGCAGATTCCTGAGGTGTGCAGTCTGGAAAGCTGGGTTCTGGGCCCCATTCTGCTCCTGACCACTGTCTGGTGCTGAGCAAACAATTTTCCTGCTCGGGCCTCAGTTTCTCATCTGTAAAATGGGGATGATACTACTTCCCTACTGACCTCTACAGCAGGGTCTGAGCAAGCTGGCTCGTTTATGTTTATAAACTGATTTACAAATATAAACCCTAATTAGTAGCAGTAGTAATCCTGCATTGAAACAGAATATACCCCCATATCCACACCCTAAACAGCTTTGTACAAAATATGCCTTGTGAGGTACCAGCTGAAAACCCATAATTTGCTGATCAGTAATGTCATGGCAAAATGCACGTAGCAGTGTGATCTGTGAAGTTATAAACGTAATTTGATTTCATGACTAAAAGTATGTTTTCCAGAAACGATTGGGGAGTGTCCAAACCAGTTCCTCAGAGACAAAGCCCAAGCTGTCGCCTCAGCCAGATGTAAACAAGGCTGCTAAGTGGCCATTCTTTGGCAGGAAAGGGGGCAGGGCAAAAAAAAAATCTACATCTTAGCAAAGAAACAGCATGGAGTTCCCGTCCACACAGCCTGCCTGTTGCCATGCTCTCCGCTGGAAATGCTTCTCAAAGCGGGAACAGGACTATAAAAAGAAGAGGCAGATACTCCCAGGCACCCCTCCTTCATCCTCTCTCTCTGTCCACTGATTCACAGCACGAGAAGGGACAAAGGAAGCAGCCATTAAACAGAGGAAGGGCTCCTGGCCTAAGAAGTTTGGTCACTAAGACTCTTGAGAGCATGTGGTGAGAAAACTTTGCTTTGAATTTAACAGTTAAATCAGGCACCAGTTGCATTTTATCTTTATTTTTCTTGTAACTATTTCTGACTTTTATGCCTCATGACTTGTACTCACTTAAAATTTCCCTCTTCGTAGTTAATAAAGTTGTTTTATTGTTTTATCTAAACCAGTGAGTTTAAATTGAAGTGTCAGGGAAACTCCATTTGGGGCAACAAAGTGTGCATATTATTCCTATTAACGAAATACGGTCTTTATGAATGTGTATTGTGCAGGAGAGGACTGGGCGGTACAGGACCTACGTTTCTGGGGGGAAATCTAGGACTGGGGGTGTGCTGAGGTCACCCTGCAGTAGAACCCAGGCTGGGGAGAGCCAAGGTGTAGCTGGGAGTGACTTGCATGCTGGAGCTGTTTGTGAGCAGGCCAGACGGGAGGCTACCGCAGCAAAGCAGCGCAGAGGGCACCCCAGGTTAGAGGGCAGGAGCGACACAGCTACTCACTAGTCTGGATCGTACCCTGGATACATCACAGAATTAGTAGCAGTAGTAATCCTGCACCCATGAGCTCTGCCAGGACCTCCCCATCACTCTGGAGCCACCGGAAAATCGCAGAATATTTTGCCAGCCATTATTTGATGCTACAGGCTCTTTCAAAAAGAATCAGAACCATGGCACCTCTTTGCAGCTCCCTGGAAAAGGTGATTGTGCCAGATCAGCAGAGTCAGGGACCATTTCATTTCCTAGCTCTGTGAAGTGTCTTAGAAGTCAGAGCCTCTGCCGCAAAGAAATGGGAAGAGAGGTTCGGCCCCTCTGCCTTCAATGTGGCTCTGCACAGGTTTGCTAAAGCCTGTGGGACTAGAAGCAAGCCAGACCATTGGTTCACCATGTAAACATATGATAGCATTCTGCACTGACAGCACCATCCAGCAGAAGATCTCAAAGCACTTCCGAGAGGTGGGTGAAGTATTATTATCCCCATTTTACTGCTGGGAAAACCGAGGCAAAGACCCTGTCTAGACAAGGGTTGCTGGTTGTGTGGTAACACGTTGATTGCAAATTAATATGAGTTAACCCACATGACTGTAAATGCAACTAGCATCTCTTCACGAAGGTTTGGTGCTGGAGGTGGTTCACGCAATGCTGAGCCCTAGAGAGAACCACAACCAGGATCAAACACTTGTGTCCGGGAACAAACCTTCACAGCTGAGTTAGTTAACAATCAATTAACATGTGCTGGCCCCCAAGCACAGAGAAAGGATGGCCCAGCAGCTCAGGCGCTAGCCTGGGACCTGCGAGACGTGGGTTTGAATCCCTGCTCTTCCACAGGCTTCCTGTGTGACCTGGGCAAGTCACTTCACTTCCCCATATAATGGAGAAGCTAGCCCTGCCCCGTGGGGGTGTTTACACTGAAAACGGTGAGGTGCTCAGGTGCTAGGAAAGTGGGGAGTGTAGACATGCAAAAGAGCTCAGAAGGCAAGGCTGGTGCAGTGATGTGCCCAAGGCTACACAGCAAGTCATTGGCTCAAGTGGGGCGAGAACCTGGCAGCTCTGGCTCCACTTCTGTAGCCAGCCTGCCCCTGCGTGGGAGGAGGAAGGTTTATGGAGACACCCACCTTCTGGTACTCCAGGGTTTTATTCTGCAAAACTGACACCATCCTCTTCCCTTTGTCCAGGGCCTCCGCATGCGCTCTCTGACTCTGCTCTTCCAGCGTCCCACGCTGCACCTGGAGCGCTTCCCTCTTCTCAGCCTCCCACTTCCTTTGCTCTTGAAGCAGAGCGCTCTGAACCTAGGGTCATGCACAGCAGGGACCTGGGTGAGCTCCCCACAAGGAAGCCGAACAGAGCTAGCTGCTCCTGGGGGCGCCCATCCTGTTCTGAGCGTCTGGTCGGAGAAGCACTGGCCCCCGGAGGAGGCATAAGAGCCATGGAGCCAGGGGAAATGCCAGCGCAGGGACAGCCAGAGCATGGGCAGCAGCACCTAGGCGGGAACTTGAAAGTTAATTCAGATTGAGGGAGGGTGCGACTTTAAAGCCTGAATAACTCCATGTGCGGACGCGCTTATGCCAGTGGATTAAACTCCACGTGCTCCTCTTGACCTGCTGCTTACAAACAGGGGGAAATTGGTAGGGGAACTTGTTATATCCTTGGGGGCAGCCGGTTTAGGAAGAAATCACAAAGCTACCATTTATTTACAGACAGGGAGCTGAGCTGACCAGCCGAAGCTGGCTGGGCTATCCCCTAATAATCTAACTCAGTTGCCATAGGAACAAAAACCACGACAACCAAATATACAACATATTCCTCCCCCCTTAATAAGAACATCACCTAAATAAAACACACACTAGACTAGAGAAGGAGGGTAGACTGCCTCCATTCCCGGCTAAACCCTGGGGATTATTTTGCCCCATAACCGTGGGTTCGCCCTAGCTAAAGATCCAGCCATTGAGGAGATCTTCTGTCTCTAGGTGGATTACGGCGAACTTCTGGTGTTGTTGCACCCGAAAGTACCATGGGCGCAGGCCTGACAATGGGGTCAGGGTTTGCAGTGCGAATGGGTGAGGAGGTGGTATCAGCTCATGCTTGGCAAAGGCATATCTCAGCCGCCGGCAGTAATGGAGGAGAACAGTCAGGAACAGGTGATTCTTGATTAGGTGTCTCGCCAGAAGAGGTGAAGTCAGACAACTCAACTGAAGATGTGTCCTGAGGACTGGCATGACCTGGCAACAGCTGATCTACATATCGCCGCGAGGTGAGATTCCCTGCAGTCCGGACTGTGTAGGAAACAGGTCCTGTCTGAGTGATGATCGTGTCAGGGACCCATTTAGCTCCAGAAGTATAATTCTGAGCCAAAACTGGCTGTCCCGAGCTAAAGGTTCAGTCTTTTGCTCTGGGTGCCCGTCTGCTGACTTGATATTGCTGCTGACGTTGCACAATTTGTCGGGGTTCAGAAGGTTTCAGCAGATCAAAGCAAGTGCGCAGCTGTCGTCCCATCATTAGCAAAGCCGGGGATGCCTTGATAGTAGCATGAGGTGTGTTTCTGTAGGAAAGTAAGAAGGTGTCCAGATGCTTTGGAATGGAGTGTTGTCCCCGTGCCGATTTCAAAGCTTGTTTCATTGTCTGCTCAAATCTTTCAGCTAATCCATTGGTGGATGGATGATATGGTGCTGAAGTGATGTGGTGTATCCCATTTGCCTTCATAAAATTTTGAAGCTCCTGAGAGACGAACTGCGGTCCGTTGTCACTCACAAGTTGTTCTGGCAGACCGAAACGACTAAAGAGTCCCTGTAGTTTTTGGATAGTACTCTCTGCAGTAGTGGACTGCATTATAGAGACTTCTGGCCATTTAGAATGGGCGTCTACTACCACCAAGAACATGCTTCCTTCAGGGGGGCCAGTGAAGTCAACGTGAATACGTTGCCACGGGTTTTCAGGCCAGTCCCATGGATGTAGGGGTGCCCACTGGGGTGCATTCCTCACACCTTGACATGACATACAAGCTTTTGCTTCTCTTCAATAGCACTGTCCAATCCAGGCCACCAAAAATAGCTTTGTGCAATTTCCTTCATGCGCACTATTCCACAGTGACTGGAATGGAGCTGTTCTAACATCTGTGATCTCAGTGGTGGTGGGATAATGACACGTCTCCCCCACAACAAACAAACAGATTGGATTGATAACTCCATCCTCCTGGACATGTAGGTAACAAGGTCGGGTGAGACCGGAGAGGTTTGTTGAGATTTTCCATGCATCACCAGGTCCATAACTTGGGACAATACTGGGTCAACGCGAGTTGCCTTCTTTATCTGAGTAGCCGTAATGGGTGTTTTCTCTACCTGTTCAAAGGAGAAGATTTCCAGTTGGGCACTATCTTGATGTTTGACTGGCAAAGGCAACCTTGAGAGGCCATCTGCATTGCCGTGCAGAGTCGATTTCCAATATTTGATTTCATATGTGTGCACTGAAAGTAACAATGCCCAACGTTGCATACGACTAGCAGCTAATGGGGGAATGCCTGTGTAGGGTCCAAAAATTGACATCAGAGGTCGATGGTCTGTGAGAAGAGTAAACTTCTACCCAAACAGGTACTGATGAAACTTCTGAATTCCAAAAATGATTCCCAATGCCTCATGTTCGATTTGGGCATAGTTAGTTTCCGCTTTGCTTAGAGTGCGTGAAGCAAAAGCAATAGGTCTCTCTCTTCTCCCGAAGGTATAATGTGTGACACGACTGCTCCCACTCCATAAGGGGAGGCATTGCAGGCCAACTGTAGGGGTAAGGATGGATCAAAGTGCGTTAGAACTTCGGAATTTAGCAATGCATCCTTAGCTTTGTTAAATGCAACATCACAGGCTTCAGTCCACTTCCAGGCCTTGTTCTGCCCAAGGAGTTCGTGAAGTGGCTTTAGCAGTGTGGCTACCTGTGAGATGAACTTTCCATAATAGTTCAGTAGTCCTAGAAACGAGCGCAGCGGGCTAACATTTCGAGGTCGGGGAGCCTCCACAATAGCCTTAACTTTGGCAGGGGACTTATGAAGACCTGCAGCATCAATGATGTGTCCCAAATATTCAACAGAGGGCTGGAAGAATTCACACTTGTCTCTGCGGACTCGTAGGCTGTACTCTTCCAGTCTTTGTAGGGTAGCCTCTAAATTCTTTAAGTGATGCTCTTCATTCCTTCCAGTGACCAGGATGTCGTCCAGATAGCACTGAACACCTGGCAAGCCACACAAGATCTGGTCCATAGCCCTCTGGAACAGGGCGGGAGCAGACATTATTCCAAAGGGTAGGCGACAGTATCGATAAAGCCCCTTGTGAGTCACAATCGTCAACAGCTCTTGAGACTTTTTAGCGATGTGCATCTGTAAATACGCTTGACTCAGATCAATCTTACTGAACTTTTGTCCCCCAGCCAGGCCTGTGAAGAGGTCATCGATGTGGGGAAGCGGGTATTGCTCTGCACACAACACCGGGTTGACAGTGACTTTAAAATCACCGCAAATCTGGAGGGAGACGTCTTTCTTCTCTATTGGAACGATAGGAGTGGCCCATGGGCTATGGGTAACTGGTATTAGAACTCCATTGATGACCAGATGCTCCAGGTCTGCTTCAATTTTTGGCCTGATGGCATATGGCACAGTTCAGGCTTTCAGATATTTTGGTGGACTGTCAGGTTTAATGTTCAATGTCACAGTGATTCCCTTCATACTTCCCAGATCCCCTCCAAAAACAGCAGCATGTTTCCTTCGTATAGGGGTTAGACTGGTTTCTTCTTTAGTCATTCGATGCACTTTTGCCCAGTTCAGCTGAATCTTCCCAAGCCAAGACCTACCCATTCAGGCTGGGTAATTACCTCTCACCACAAACAGTGGCAACTTAGCAGCCTGTCCATTGAGCTCCACCTTAACATCAATAGTGCCCAACATGGGCACAGCTTCTCCCGTATACGTCTTCAGAACAGATTTTGTTGCCTTAAGCGGAAGATGCTGTAGCTTTTCTTTATACACCGTCTCGGAGTCCAGCGAGAGCGCTGCACCGGTGTCCAGTTCCATGCGTATAGGTTTGCCATCCAACAACGGGGTTACCCAGTATTCATGTGAGCCCACTGCCAAAGACAAAACATGCAGTGGCACTTCCTCTTGCGATGAGGTGTCACCTTGATCATCCTGGGTCGGCTCTAGGGTATGCAGAGTTCCCCTTTTTGTCGGCCAGACCACAGGCCTCTTTTTCTTTTGTTTACAGGCACACTCAATGTGTCCCTTTTTGCCACGGTGTTGACACACCAGGTCCTTACACCAGCATTCTGATACCTGGTGACCCGGCTTACCACAGCGGTAACATTCCTGACTCTGCCCAGTTTTGTGGGTAGGTTCTTGTGACAGCTCATGCACCCTAGGGGATGCACGGATGTATTGCGTCTCCTTTGTAGCCAGTTCCATGGAGACTGCAATATCAACGGCCTTCTGTAAGGTAAGCTGAGCCTCTGTCAGTAGGCGCTTCCATATAGCTTCACTGTACAGGCCACACACTAACCTGTCACGCAGGGCATCATTTAACATCTCCTTAAATTCACAGTGTTCTGCAAGCTTTTTTAAAATTGCTACAAATTGTACAACTGTTTCATCTTCTTTTTGGTCTCTTTTGTGGAACCTAGATCTTCCAGCAATTACCAGTGGTTTGGGGGGAAAATGGGACCCCAGGATTTCCACAATGTCACTGTAAGATCTGGTCTCAGGCTTAACACTTAAGGATATTGGCACCTTCTTCGCTTCTGTAATGTCATTTGCAATAACAAAAAGCTCAAAACGCTCAGTATACACATGCCACTGCATTATATTCTCATCAAAAGTTTCCAGTGGCCCGGTCCGAGTAGCCATGGTTTTAGTTTCAGTTTCACAGTCAGGGCCAACAAGCAGTTTTTGTTTGTTTGTTTATTTGTTCTTTACCTTGACTTCTACTTCCTCCTGTTGCTGGGGCAGCACCGGTATCCCACCCTTGTCGCCACTTGTTATATCCTTGGGGGCAGCCGGTTTAGGAAGAAATCACTTGAGGCCAGAGACCAACAAGCTAACAAAGCTACCATTTATTTACAGACACGGAGCTGACCTGACCAGCCGAAGCTGGCTGGGCTATCCCCTAATAATCTAACTCAGTTGCCATAGGAACAAAAACCACGACAACCAAATACACAACAGAAGTAAAGTGAGTAGCAGCCTAGGCAGCAGTGACCATGAGATGACAAAGCCTGGCTGGGATGATTTAGTTGGGGTTGGTCCTGCTTTAGCAGGGGGTTGGACTAGATGACCTCGAAACAAGGCACTCTGATTCTGGAATAAGAGCATCCACACATGGCTATTCGGGAGCTATTCTGGAATAACTCCATACGTAGTCAAGTCCTGAGGCAGGGGCTCAACCCTGATCTGGAGAGACCGCCTCTAGGGCAGAGAAGGGGATTCCAGCCATTTGCATGCTCTACCCAACCCACAGCCTTCCCGGTGAGACTGCCCAGATGGCCAGATGCCAGCCAGCACCAGCAGTGAGGCAGAGGTTTCTAAGCAGCTTCCTGACCATGATGGCAGTTCCTGAAGCATGGACACCCGGCCCCAGCTCACTTCAGACCGTCCCCGAACTACAGCTGCACGGTAACAACTTTTGGGGGCTGGACAGACGTCGGTGCCCTAGAGGAAATAGGCTCCGCACTGCCTCCCCAGCCCCCTGAGCCAGTCAGTCGCCTTTGCAAGGCTCCCTCATGGACCGTACCATCTCCTTGGCTTCCTGCTTCAGCTCTCTGACCAGCTGCTGGGTAGACTCCTTCTGTCGCTGCATGGCCTCCCGCTGTCTCCGAACCTCTTCATCTCGGGCCTGGGCAGAATTGTAAAGAGATGCCCATTGAATTCCCTGCCCACTGGATCCTCTGCTCCAGGTCCACTCTCCGTGGGCTGAAGGGCTGGGAGGGCCAGGACCTTCTACCGCCATGTGCCCCCCACTCCCAGGGATTCTGGCCACCTCTGCAGGGTTTAGTACTCGGGGCCAGTACTAAAGGGAGGGGTCCGGAGGAGACAGGACCATTGTCCCACCTCACGCCATGGTGCTCAGCAGTGGCTTCAGGGGGAGAAGAGCGTGTTGGGGGCTCTCCCGGGGCTGTGCTCCATGGGAGCTGTGTCATAGCACCCCCTGGAGCTTCCCCTGGGTCAGGGCAGCTCCTCGCTGCTCAGGGCTGTGCCAATGACTCAGCCAGACCCCCTGACTCTCGAAAGCCCTGGCTCCAGCCGCGCCCAGGGGGCTTCATGGCAACGGCCAGGTGTAGCATTGCCCAGGCCTGTAGAAGACCACAACAGAGCCGCAGTCCCCACAGCCCCTGGGCGCCCCCACCTGGACTGTAAGGAGCTGGGGGGCTGGAATCCAGGGTGGCAGAGTCTTGGGCGACCGACCCCTTCTCACTGCCACTGGGAGCCATGAGAAGCAGCACTTAACAATTACTGGAGGGTTAGACACCGCAGGCGTCCTGCCCGATGAGGCCAGAGCAATGGAACCCTGTGGCCACCTGACCGGTCCACCCCAGCTATTTAAACCAGGGAGCGGAGCGACAGTGGCCACTCTGGCTTGCTGCTGCTGCAGACTCGCCTTTCGTCCCAACTTGCTCCTGCCTTCAACCCCAGCCCGGCTTGAGCTCGGGACCGGTCTCCTGACTCAGCTTGGTAACTAGTCTCGATTCCTGCCTCAGCCCAGTGCACACGACTGTGTCCGGCCACGTGCACCCGGCCGTTACACAGACCCAGTGCGGGACTTGAAAAGGGAAGGACTGTTTGTGGAAAACGCAGCTGATCTGGCCAGTGCTCGTCAGCTTTTATCACACCAAACATCTGGCCTTGAATTGGGGAGCTCTACTTCCCCCACCCGGGCAGCCAGCTGCTGGCCTCAGCATGGAGAAAGCATTGTCTGATAGTTAGAACAAAGGACTGAGAATCAGAGGATGTGAGTTCTAGTCCCAGCTCTGCCTTGGACTTGTTGCGTGCCTGCGGGCATATCTCTGTCCCGCTCCCTGCCTCGGTTTCCCCATCTGTAGCATAGGGATAGTAATACTCACCCACCTCATGGACTAGAGGCTTTGTTCGCTCAGGTTTCTACAGAGCATTGAGGTTACCAGGGTGGAGGACACTGGAGATGGGCAGCGCTTTCACTATTAGCTATTCTGGGGAGCTCACCACAGCCTGCTGCCACGGAAACGACTGGCACAAGCAGAGCAAAGTCCGGGATCTAGAACAGCTGGGGCACGTGGGCAAAGGCCAGCAGAGATGGGGACATGGTATGGGCTGGAATGAGACCCGCCCAGCTCATTAGCAGGGCTCTGCTCTCTGGCCTATGTTGTGCAAAGGCCCTTTGTTTTCTGCTTGTGTATTTATAAATTTCCCAGGAATGTATCTGTGTTTGTCCAAAATTTAACAAATGGGTGAAAATGGGTAAAAACTGAAAACAAAGGGCAGTGGGCTGGGGGTGGGGGAATGCTAGGTATTCCTGGGGGCCAAGCAGGGAGAGGGAGGGGAGTACTCATGACGCAGCAGTCAGGTGGCCTCGGCTGCTGAGACCCGACTCCCTGCCCCTCTCGCTTCCCCACTGTGCAGAGGAAGCAGACGGCCAGGTCTGGAGGAGGCTCTGTCTGGCAGGCGTCAGGCCTCCTGGGGTGCAGCCTTGACTCCCTGAGTGCCGAGTTCCTGCTGGCCATCCCCGCAGAGGAGGGTAACTATCAGCTGGTGGCTGCTGAGTGGGGGAGAAAGATGGGCAGGGAGCCGGAGCCTGGTCCTGGCAGTTTGAGCCCACCTGCACTTCCCCTGCTGGACAGAGCCCACTGCTGTCTCTGGCCCTGCAGCGCAGACCAGGCAGCAGGGCAGGGCGGGGGCACGAGGGTGCTCTGTCCGGCAGGGGGCCAATACTCATGGGATGCAGCCGACTGCTCCCCTCTGATACAGGAGATTTTTCAGCTGCTCTGTTCTGTGTAAGGCCGACAGCCCCAGAGCGCTGGGCTGCCACCATGAGCTAGAGCAGGGAGAGATTAGAATTAAACTTGTGTAAAATAATAAAAATAGGGGAGTGACAGTGAATTATAGCGTCAGGATACACTGACGTGTTTAAAATGACAGACGCTTAATAATTAACGAGGGTGGGTTTAGGTGGCTAGCAATGACAAGATGGCGGTCACAAGCAGTCAGAGTCAGAGAAATCCAAAATGGAGGTCTGGGAGAGATTTGGCCAAGCAGGCAGACTGAGGTGAGACAAAGGGCCCTCCCAAACCAGAAAGGGGGCGGGGCTGTCAGTTAAGCACAGGTTCTCAATCAGGTCCAGCATCTAAGGCGCAGGTCTTCAATCAGGTCTAGCTTTGATTGACAGATAGTGGGCTTAAACCTGATTGGTGAGAACAGGGGCCCGCCCAAATCTGAGCAGGGGTGTAGGGCTGCCACAGTGGCCCAGAGCATCACTCGGGCACCTGAAATCCAGGACGGAACACGGGCAGGGCGGGGGCCCCCTGAATCCACAGGCTGGGAGAAGGGGAGTCATCCCAGCCCGGGGCTGTGCCTCATGGGGGCAGGTCTGGGGCTAGTGCTGGGGCCAGAGCAGGGCCGGGCCGGGCACCCAGGTGCATGGCTGGGCTGGGCAAGGGCAGCTGCACACGGTGCAGGATGCACGGACACAGCAACGCTGGCAGGAAAGGGAGGTGTGGTCAGCCGGGCGGATGGATACCAAGCCGGGGTTGGGCAGAGCTCGAGTCATGGCAGTGCCCCCCTTTGCCACATGGACAGCCTGTGCGCCCCAGGCAGCCTCGTCTGCTGGTGCCTGCTGAGCAGTAAGGACTGGCTGGAGGGGCCCCCCCGATCCATCCTGCACCCAGCCCCCTCCCTGTGCCCTAACTCCAGGCTCTGCTGTGCCCCCCATTTCTGCTGCCTCACCCATGTCGTGTGCCCCCCTGGATCCTGCCCCTTCCCCCAACTCCAGCCCTTGGCCTCTGCCTCCCCCCCCAGTTTTCCCTTCCCACTTTGGATGAATTTTCTCTCTTCCAAAGATGGCGAGGCTCAGGGAACCTGTTTCCCTGACTGGGTGCCCTGCGAGGTGGGGTAGCCTTTGGATTCTGCTCAACTGAAGGGGGGGGTCCAGTGCATATTATCCCCCCTCTGCCCTAAGGAATGTGGCGAATGTTCAGCCCGAAGGGGGGAACCTCTTTTACCCCAGCAGCTACCCACACTGGTGGGTCCTTACCCCATACACGTGCCCAGCTCGGCAGGTGAAGCCCTGTGTCTGGGGGCACCAGGGCTAGGAAGAGGGCGTGGTGTCGGGGGAGAAGCTGAGCTAGCATGGTGTGTTGGGGCCCACCCAAACTTCCTCTCCTAGCTACACCACTGGGTGGGAATGCTTAGGGTTGTGAAAATAACCAGTCAGAATAGGCCAAAATCTATATATAAGGTACAGAGCTGACAGGCTTGAGTGAGCGTGAGTGGAAGGCACTGGAGTGAACATTAGGAGAATCAGAATCTGAAAGATAAGAGCTGAAATCACTGAAGACTGAAGGCAGAAGCAGTAGTAGTGACAACATCAGTCCTGGCAGATCAGAAGGACCTAGACAGAGCAGAGGGAAAGAGGACTGTGGGGAAGTAATCACGGTGGCTCTCATGTAAAGAATAACGAGAATGTATGAAGGAGTGTGTCTGAGATAATAAAGCTGGATAATTGGGTATGTATGTTTTGGTCTGTATAGTCTTTAATGTTTAAGAACTGGCTGTCAGCATCCTATATGTGACTGGCCATCGCATATAGAATGTAACCACTTAAAGCTATTTTCCAATTGTAGGCTATTGCAAGTTTGGGTACTTCAGCGTGTACTTGTGCTAACAGAGTTTGTTATTTTGTAATATGTGTCTTAAATTGTAAGAACTTATGTTTTTGTTTCTTTAAATATGTTTTAGATTTACTGTGTTAGGGTATGTTGTGTTAAATAAAGGTTATTTTTGTTTCCTAAGAATTACGTCCTGAGTGTCAGTCCTTGGAGCGAAAGACTGTAGCCAGTCCTTCCAAGGGTCAACAGGCCTAGTCTATTCTGGGGAGTCCTCCAAAAGTTGGAGAGAAACCCCCTGGTAAATCCGCTAGGATGGACCACCCCCTTTCACCTTCCAAAACCACACAAACTGAGGATTCAGCTGCAAATATAGGCAAGCCATTGTAGGGGTGTCTGGAGTCTGGTTTTGAGGGGGTAACACTCCTGAGCCTGGTGCTTCAGAGTGGCCCTGTCTGCTTCGCTTGAGAAAAATACCCGGGTCCCCAAAAAGTCAAAAATTTGGGGGAGGGGGGAAATATCAATAAAATCCAGAAATCCTGGGAAATTTTTGAGAAAATCAGTAACTACTAAAATTGAAGGGTCTTGGTTCTGCAGGAGCTCAGGCTAGATGATCACAATGGTTCCTTCTGGCCTTGGAATCCATGGCTCTATTACATACATTCAGGTGGGTCAGATTTCGCGCTCCCTCAAACCATGACCCACCCCCTCCCCCTGCCCCGTGGGGAGCAGGTACCTCGATCACCCTGGTGAGATTCTCCACTTCCTTCTGGAAGGAGGCGGCTTGATCCTGGAGGGCCCTGGCCTTCACCTGCTCCAAACTCTCTGCAAACTGAGAAGACAGACATGAGAATGGGGAGCCTCTGCCTTGAGGCACGAGACAAGGAGCCCTTGAGGCTCTTCCTCTCTGCCTGGAAGACCCTGATCCCAGGCAGTGCCCGATGGAGAACGACTGGCCTCCTTGGCAATGCATTTAATGTACTGACAACACCACAGCTTCACCCTTAAATAGCTCTCCTCACCCAGGCAGCTCAGAATGCGTCACCTGCCCCACTGTACAGGTGGGGAAACTGAGGCACAGATAAGTGAGGGGACATGGCTATGGTCACAAACAGGTGCTCTGTCTAGGACCACGCTGCCTCCCCATCATAAATCCAGCTAGGTGCCTGGCCAAAGGAGAACAAGTCAGAGAAAGAGGGGACCATTCAGCCAATTGGACATCCAACACGTCACCCAGTGCATGAGCTCATCTGCTACATCACACGACTCACACCACTGAGACACTGACATGTGGGGAGGGCCTGCCTGGAGGCAATTGGTGAGAGAGACAGGGGAGTGATGTACGTAGGTCCTCCCAGCACTTTGCAGGTACTCCTCACGGCACAAGCCAGCTTGCTGGAGGACATGCCAACAACAGTCACCATGTCAGCTGCACTCACACCCGGAGGGAACATGGCACGTGAGCACGGGACTGCGTGATACAAACCTCCTGGAGCTCCTGCTGCTTCAGACACTGCAGCTCCTCCCTCTGCTGGGCCCACTCCAGCTCCTACAGCACAGAAAACAGCACCTAGCCACACTGCACACCCCGCAATCCAGCCAGCCCCCACGTTCCCTCCTGCCGATGCCCAGAGCCCCATAACTGCACAGCCACAGAGGCCACAGGGCTGGCAAGAATCCTTAGTCTCAGAGTCCTGGCTAGACTCCACTTCAGGGCATTACATTCCTCCCACCCACGCTACTGCCCTGTCCCTTTACGGGATCCAAGGCAGGAGAACCTTTAAACTGCTATGTAGCATGGCTATGCCCTGGAAAACAGCAGCTGCGTCCATTCCAGAGGTGGCTGCATTCCAGCGAAGGCTGAAAAGATGGGATCTTTGCGCCAGCGTTTCTCCAACAGCGAGTGCCGTTCTTTCTCGTGTGCCATCAATACAGTTGCTACCGAGTTCCAGTCAGCTACCTTGGAGTAAACCCACGGGAAGCAATGGGGCTCACCAGGTGTCAGCCGGCCTTGCTGAAAGACTGTGGGGCTACACAGGTGTTTTCAGGGTCATCAGTGACCTTTAGTGCAGGAGATGATGTGTGAGAAGAAAAAAGCCCAGCTCGACTTGCAGATCGCCCGTTAATGTTGCAGATTGGGCAGCGAGAAAAATAATTTGACTGGTAAACTGGGCACGTTTGATATAGAAATTATTGAGACAATAAACAAGGACATTTCATGATGCCTTTTTTAGCCATTTTCAGAGCTGTCCAATAAAACGACTGTCTCATCTCACTTCCCATCCTCCTTAAATGTGTGTATTTACAGTTCAATATATCCAGACCCCCTTTTTCATTCTTATTGCTACTGTCACGGAGTATGGGGGACTCAGGGCCCTGCACCCCCTTTTTCATTCTTATTGCTACAAGCATGAAGAAAATTCTGGTCCATGAGTAACTGAAAAGTGTCATGTGATACATCAACACATTATTTTCTTGGAGACATTGAACACTGACTAGACCAATCAGAACAGAGATGTAACTACTTTATCCTGGTACAGCAGCCAATCAGACTGTACATGCCAACCTGTTCCTAACTGACTTATCAGAAGTCAATAATAGGGGTTGGTTTTTTTCTGGGTCTTTTACGGCTCACCCACACATGGCGTTATTCCAGAATAGCCACTGCACTTTCAATTCACCCCCCTTACTCCACATTAGCTTTCCAATGTAAACAAGTCATAGAATCATAGAATATCAGGGTTGGAAGAGACTTCAGGAGGTCATCTAGTCAACCCTCCTGCTCAAAGCAGGACCAATCCCCAACTAAATCATCCCAGCCAGGGCTTTGTCAAGCTGGGTCTTAAAAACTTCTAAGGAAGGAGATTCTACCACCTCCCTAGGTAACCCATTCCAGTGCTTCACCACCCTCCTAGTGAAATAGTGTTTCCTAATATCCAACCTAAACCTCCCCCACTGCAACTTGAGACCATTGCTCCTTGTTCTGTCATCTGCCACCACTGAGAACAGCCAAGCTCCATCCTCTCTGGAACCCCCCTTCAGGTAGTTGAAGGCTGCTATCAAATGCCCCCTCATTCTTCTCTTCTGCAGACTAAATAACCCCAGTTCCCTCAGCCTCTCCTTGTAAGTCATGTGCCCCAGACCCTTGATCATTTTTGTTGCCCTCCGCTGGACTCTCCAATTTGTCCACATCCTTTCTGTAGTGGGGGGGGGACCAAAACTGGATGCAATACTCCAGGTGTGGCCTCACCAGTGTCGAATAGAGGGGAATAATCACTTCCCTCGATCTGCTGGCAATGCCCCTACTAATACAGCCCAATATGCTGTTAGCCTTCTTGGCAACAAGGGTACACTTGACTTATATCCAGCTTCTTGTCCACTGTGACCCCTAGGTCCTTTTCTGCAGAACTGTCACTTAGACAGTTGGTCCCCAGCTTGTAGCGGTGCATGGGATTCTTCCGTCCTAAGTGCACATGTCTTTGTTGAACCTCATCAGATTTCTTTTGGCCCAATCTTCCCATTTGTCTAGGTCACTCTGGACCCTATCCCTACCTTTCAGTGTATCTACCTCTCCCCCCAGCTTAGTGTCATCTGCGAACTTGCTGAGGGTGCAATCCATCCCATCATCTACATCATTAATGAAGACGTTGAACAAAACTGGCCCCAGGACTGACCCCTGGGGCACTCAGCTGCCAACTACACATCGAGCCATTGATCACTACCCGTTGAGCCCAACAATCTAACCAGCTTTCTATCCACCTTATAGTCCATTCATCCAATCCAGACTTTTTTAACTTGCTGGCAAGAATACTGTGGGAGACTGTATCAAAAGCTTTGCTAAAGTCAAGGTATATCACATCCACCGTTTTCCCCATATCCACAGAGCCAGTTATCTCATCATAGAAGGCAATCAGGTTGGTCAGGCATGACTTGCCCTTGGTGAATCCATGCTGACTGTTCCTGATCACCTTCCTCTCCTCCAAGTGCTTCAAAATGGACACCTGCTCCATGATTTTTCTGGGGACTGAGGTGAGGCTGACCGGTCTGTAGTTCCCCGGATCCTCCTTCTTCCCTTTTTTAAAGATGGGCACTACATTCGCCTTTTCCCAATCATCCAGGAGTCCTCCATTTTATCTCCCCTTAAAGCGTTGGTTGCAAAATAATATAATTTAAGAATGTGTGACCCAAAAGGGGAGTTTTCTGACACTATTGCTCAGCGTGTACGTAGCAACACGCACACAGACTCCTTTCAGAAACGATTGAGATTTATTGTCCCCCTCCCGGTAACCACTGACCGACAGGAAGGCAAGTTTCATATTTACTTCTCTCAGGCTGAAGCCAATTCCCCCTCCTCCACTTTTGGCCCAGACACCGGGGATGGGTGAGCTGCGTGCTGGCGACCTCTGCCGGGGGCCAGGAATCCCGAGGCTGCGGGGTCAATGGCCACTGGAACTGCACAGTAGGGAATCCAATGGCCCAAACTGCCCCAAAGCCCCCTGCCGGTGGCCACACAGAGCAGCCCAGAGTAGCTGGGCCACACACTTGGTGCAAAGACCCCCGGACGTTCCCTTAAATTCCAAACTGAGCAGCTCCACTCCCTGACATGGGGCAGGAGCTGCACCTTTATGAATAAAAACCATTCAGCTAGGTCGGGGGAGAAAAAGAAGGAATGAGAAGACAAGGGATGAGCACGGAAAGCCCCCCCGCCCAACTCAGGCTGGTACCTTCTCCTGCTGCATCTTCCCCAGCTGCCTGTCATGTTCTTCTCTCAGGTTCTCCATAGCACGTTGCTGCGCTTCCTTCTCAGCCGTAAGGGCACAGACGACCTCTCGCAGCCTCACCAGCTCGAGCTCCTTCTCCGACACGATCTTCTCCAGAGCAGAGCGTCTCAGCTCCTGCTCCGTCTCCCGCACTCGGAGGTCTCGGATCTGCCCACTCAGAGCTGCTGCCTGTTTCTGGAACAGAGAGCTCTGTGTAACCATCACAAACGGGCACGGGCTCCAAGAGGCTCTGGGGGCTGCTGGTGTCTGTAGAAGCACGAGGCGGGAGTAAGAGCATCATTCAAACAAGGGGTGGAAGAGGCTGAGCACAGCTGAGTTCATCTTCTGCATGTGCCAAGGCACGACTGTCCCCTCCAGTGCATTCCCCAGGGCAGCAGTTCCCCAACTGCTCCTACATATCCCGCACGGAGCACCCGCCAGGGTACCTGGAGATCTGCCTAGTCACACGGCGCTGGCTCCTTGTCTCCTCATTTCCAGCTCATTCCTCAGGCGCCCAGGACCCCTTTGCCAGGCCAACTGCTCTCCCAGGAGCCACCAATGGGGCAGAGCTGCCAGCCCCCAGCAGGAGAGGCAGGGGGGCAGGAACAAGGCACCCACGCAGTATGGCATGGGGCAGCAGGGGACCAGGCAGCAGGGGCCGAAGGGGAGAAGGAGGAATGGAACAGAGGGGTGGGAGGAGAGGAGGAGAAAAGCTAAAGGAGACAAAGTGCTTAGCAGTTTTCATAAAGGACCAATCACTTGGTGCATTAGAGATAGTTAAAGATCCATCAGCACCTGCCTCTTACAGCTCCACTGCACATTGGCTGCAGCTACTGTGACCAGTGGGACGCGAGGCGGGGTCCCCGCGATGCCCCGTGCGAGGGGAGGCGGGGTCCGGGCAGTGCCCCGTGCAAGGGGAGGCGAGGTCCGGGCAGTG